AAAACTTGTATAGACTAAAATAAGAATTGGGAAAAACTGCACAAGAGGTTCCCAAAAATCCCACCTCAGGTTTTGAATTCAAAGTTGTCTGTCTCCTAGACTGGTTGCTAACCCAAGATAAATGAGCTCGGTCTTTCCTATTTTTTAGCCCATAGCTGCGGTAAAATGAGATGGGGTCATACTTTTTCCAAGGGTATTTGTGCGTAGGTGAATGTAATGAAAGCGATTGCAATTCGAACTCGGCTATCCGAATTCATATATCGAGTGTCTATCCATTCCCTACCACCGTGCGTGGTATGGAATATATATACTGGGTGATTGAAAGTAACTCTTTATTTTAAAATACTTATAATTTATTTATTAACTATAATCTTTACAAAAGATAGATATGAGAGGAAACGCAAAGCATGAGTTTTATTTAAGATTTGATATGAGCACCAGATTAAGCTTACAGATTCTCGAACCGCCTAGAAATCACATCAACTGATTTCACCAGGAACACTTTTGGTATGGAAGACATACATTATTGTATTCGCCATTCAATTTCTTCCAAAGTCATTGTTTCGTATAGTAGACATGTATACATTATGATATGGACAAAGTCCGACAATTATTTTAAGACATTTTTATGTTTATACATTCTTTTTAAAGATACAAATATTTAAGTAAATGCTCTGTTTTATAATAAACAGTATTAAACAATATTTAATATAATAAAGAAAGAAAGGAGGTTTCAAATAATGAAAAAAAGAAAGAAAGAAAAGAAAATGGAATAAAGACATAAAAGAGAGAAAGAAAGAAAGAAAGAAAGAAAGAAAAATAAAGAAAGAAAGTGAAAGAAAGAAAATGATAAGAAGAAAGTGTAGTATGCGTAATAAAGATAGATTTAAAGATATGTATAGATAAAAGTATCATGAGAATTATAACCGCAGAAAGAAAGAAAGAATGGGAAAGAGAAATGAAACCTGCCGAAGCGAAGATTAATGCCAGAAAATGAGGAAGAAGTTGAAATGAATAAATGATGGTTCCGTATAGGATACAGGTTCGAATCCTGTCAGAGGACGAATGTTTTCTGTGAAAATTTCTCGGACATTCAGGCTAGTAAATGTTGTTTAATACTCTTTATTATAAACAGAGCATTTACTTAAATATTTGTATCTATAAAAAGAATGTATAAACATAAAAATAGACTTGTATATTAGACTATCCCCAAAGATAATCTTACAGGGTGTTAAGTCAGTACTCCTAGCTGGTCACTCATACATAAAATAAGGAGTTAGTTTTCAATCAACCTGTAATATGGTGTATTTGTTTTTAGCAGCAGACAGGATTAGAAGCTTAAAGGTAATGCGTTCTTAATGTTTAGGTGTTATTTTTATTAGTTGAGTGTTGATTTTGGCTTTGTTTATTTAGATATTTGGATGCTATCTACTGACATCTGCTTTAATCTGACAGCGATTTGCCACATTTTTAAGCACTGCAGCATAACAATAAATGAAGCAAATATAGGCTAGATAGTAGAAGCAGACAAGCGAACCGATGAAGCCATTGATTGATGGACAAACATCGTGATTACGACTGTCCAAAGATGAGTCTAAAATGAAAGGTAGAAAAGAAAGACGGGAAAAAAACAAGGAAAATTATTAAAAAAACACGAACGTTTAGAAAGCAATCAAGTAAAACAGAAAGAAATGAAGAAGAAAGAAATAAAGATGAAAAAAGAAAAAGAAAAAATTATTGAAATAAAAACGAAAAGAAAAGAAAGAATGATAGATAAATAGAAAGAAATAAAATAATGAAGAAGACAGAAAGCAGAAAAGAAAGCAAAAAATGAAACAAGAAACAAGAAAGAAATAAAGGTGAGAAAAAGTAAATTAAAGAAAGAAAAAGCAGAAAAAAGGATACCAAACGACGCAGTAAAAAAGAAAGACAGGAAAATGAAAAAAAGAAAGATTATAGAATTAAATAAAGAAAAAAAAAATGAAAGAAAGAGAAAGAAGAAAACAGACTGAAACAACGAGAATAGAAAGATACAAGGAAATGAACCATAGAATTAAAGACATGGAAAAATACATGAAGAAAAAAAGTAACCAAAAAACAGAGGAGAACGAAGAAAAAATAATAATAAAAAACAAAGAAAGAACCTTTAAGAGCAAACAGTAAGAAAGCAAGCTAGCAAGTAAGCAATAAAAAAGCGAAAAAAATATCAGAAAAAAATTATAGAAAGCAACAGAGAAAAAAATGAAAGAAAGAATGAAAAAAGAAGTTTTAAGAACTAAAAGAAAGAAAGAAGAAAAAGAAAAAAATAAGACATAGAAAGAGGAAAGAGAGACAACATGAAAGAAAAGAAGATGAAAGAAAGAATAAAAGAAAGATGTAAATGAGTTTTAAAAAAATAGAGAAAATGAGTCAAGAAACAACAGAAAGAAAATGTTGAAAAAAACGAAAAGAAAAACAGGAAAAAAAGAAGCAATGAAAAAAGAAATAACAACGAAACAAATTAAAAAAAGAAATAAAGAAGCAATATGTTAGTAAATATAGAAAGAAAGAAAGAAAGAAAGAAAGAAAGAAAGAAAGAAAGAAAGGAGGTTTCAAATAAGGAAAAAAGAAAGAAAAGAAAGAAAATGGAATAAAGACATAAAAGAAAGAAAGAAAGACTGCATGTTTCAGAAAATGAAAGCAAGAAAGAAAGAAAAGAAAGTGTAATAAAAAGTGTAAAGAAAGTTGGACAAAGAAAGAAGGAAAGAAAAGTAAGAACCAGCTGAAAGAAAGAAAGAAAGAAAGAAAGAAAGAAAGAAAGACTACATGTTTTCAAAGAAAGAAAGAAGCACTGCAGGTTTCCAAAAATAAAAGCAAAAAAGAAAGAAAAGAAAGTGGAAGAAAGAAAGAAAGAAAAAAAGAAAGAAAGACTACAGGATTCAAAGAAAGAAAGAAAGAAAGAAAGAAAGAAACAAACAAACAAACAAACAAACAAACAAAAAATAAAGAAAGAAAGTGAAAGAAAGAAAATGATAGGACGAAAGTGTAGTATACGTAATAAAGATAGATTTAAAGAGAGGTATAAATAAAGGTGTCATAAGAATTATAACCGCAGAAAGAAAGAAAGAAAGAAAGAAATGAAACCTGCCGAAGCGAAGATTAACACCAGAAAATGAGGAATTTGAAAACAAAGAGAGAGAGAGAGAGAGAGAGACAGAGACAGAGACAGAGAGAGGTGGAGAGCGAAATAAAAAAAGCGAGATGTGTAAAAGCGAGATAAAAAAAAGAAAATATCAGAATTTGAATTAGAAAAATGGTTGTTTAACTATCAAATCACCGAGTTAGAAGAGATGGTAAACGGTACTAAACTTTATTAATACTTAAGTACGTGATCGTTCGGAACATAAAGTATTATAAACAACTACTTATATCTCTGTGTATTGAAATCAATCTCTGGCCTTGTGTCAAACTGAGCAGAAATAGGCAAAGACATAAAAGAAACAATCAAGAAAAAAAGAATATAAAACACAGAAAGATCCCAATGAGACACCAAGAGAAAAGAAAAACGGAAAAATAAAATTAAAAAAAAAAACGGAGATAGGTTTATACGAAGATCAATAAATCCATATCCTAACTCTTACTTGAATTTTAATCTGAAATTTTATGTTCGATATTTACAACTGAATGAAGTGCCTTACAAAAGAAGATTAAGCTGAAAAATAAATATTTGCTCAGTAAAATAAATGTTTTATTGCATTAGTAGGCTTGAACATTTTTGCTTTCAATATATATAATATTTTATATTTATATATATATATATATATATATATATATATATGGTTATATGTGCGGTCAGATGTATTACGGTGAATCACGAGGGCGTTTAAATTGTTGTTATGCAGAATATCTCTACGGTATTCATATATTTTTTTTAGGTGTCTGGATGTTTCCTGTTCCCATCTGATCAAATGGGCATTTTTTTTTTCAAAACTGCAGTCAAATCTATTACGGCGAATCACTAGTGCGTTCAGATTGTCATTTCTCCAAAGGCATGGGTTAAACAGTACGATGTAAATCTGTAAACGGATAGAGCTCAGTTCATTTCTCTAATGAGCATACCGTTAGATGTTTACTGAATAAAACAATGTGGCGTTCACTTAAAATATGAAGTATCGACTTTAATAACGTTTGAAGTATTATATATATATATATATATATATATATATATATATATATATATATATATAGTTTTGTTGTTATTTTTGTCGTTTACTACACGGAATCACCATCGACTTTAATAACATTTGAAGTAATATATATATATAAGTGTAACCCGGATATAAGAGACCCGGATATAAGAGAAACCCGGATAATAGAGATTTTCTGGTCCCAAATTAGAGCCTGTGTTAAGATAAACAAAATAGGCCAAACCTGGATAGAGAAACCCGGATATAAGAGACTTTTCTCCGGTCCCGACAACTCTCTTATATCCGGGTTACATATATATATATATATATATATATATATATATATATATATATATATATATTTCTTAGATGAGGTACTGTAATTATTTACATTGTTCCGACAGTTTTCCTCATCTCTTGTGTTAAAGGGACATGACTGAGCCACCCGGAAGAGGCATGGCATGTGGAACTAGAACAATCTACCATGGTGGACGAAATAAAGGGTTCAGTTCGAAATTCCAATCATCTGAAGAAGGTTGGAGAGTACAACGGCCGAAACGTCGTGAATATGATAATAAAGATGAGGACAACAGTCCGAACAATGTATATTATATATATATATATATATATATATATATATATATATATACTCACTTAAAAGAAGTGGGAATATTGTTCTTCCTAGATTAATTTCAACTGAATAGCGAGTTCGATCCTCACTGGGTACCCATACTTTCGGTCTTGTGCCACATCACTGGGTACCCATAATTTTCGGAATTGTGCCACATCTAAGCTACGCATAGAAAATTACTTAAAAGCAGGTGGGATGATTATCGGTCTAGAGAGACCATCTATTTTCACCTGTGTAGTTTCTTTGGGTGCTTCGACGTGATGTAATGGTTAGCCGACTTGTCTTGGTAGATCAATTACAACTGAATAGTGAGTTCGATCCTCACTGAGTGCCCACGTTCTCGGCTACATCTAAACAGTGCTACATCTACACTGGGTGCCCACATTTTGTGCTACATCTAAACTAAGCTTAGGAAATCGTCATCAGTGGAGAAAGATACAAACAAGGAAAAATGTCACCAGGACAGTTTGGTGTACAAAGAAAGAAAGAAAGAAAGAAAGAATATGTTTGATGGAGTAAATGGGTAACAAGGACAAGCAGAGAGAGAGAGAGAGAGAGAGAGAGAGAGAGAGAAAGGAAGTATCCTTTCACTTTCTTTTCTCTCTCCCCCTCTCTCTCTCTCTCTCTCTTTCTCTGCTTGAAAGAGACACACATGGATCAAATGGAAATAACCGATAAACAATATGAAAAACAGTTGCCTGAGAAAAAGTACAAAGGAAAGGAATACATACACTCTTTCTCTCTTTCTCTCTCTCTCACACACACATATAGATATATATATTAAAACAAAAGCCGTCAAACGGTTTGTTTTATTTTAAACCAGCTTAAAAATGACTAATTCCAAAAGATCAGCGATTAAAACACTCTTAATCTCACGTAATCTTCTTAAAGCAACGAGGAGATTATCTTTTCATCCAAATAAATAGTACAAATAAAGTACAAACCAGAATTATTTCTGTCTATAAAATCTACAATTGGGGGTTAGTTGTCTTACACGTGAGTGTGACAATGAGTATTCAAGACATAGGTCATGAGCGTCGGTATCTCTATGAATTCAAGTTATTCTCACGTGGACGAAAGGACGAGTGTTTCTAACGTTAGTGTTTTGACCATAAGACCCGGTTTCGAATTTCACCAGTGTCGATTTCTCAAGGTGGTGACTTCTAGATTATATCACCTTGAGCACCTTTGGAAAGTACTAAAAAACCATACCACGTGTTGACCCAAGTCCTCAAAGTGGAATTTTGTAGATGGAATGGTTTAGAATCCGTCAATGGTTGTGCTAACATGAAATTACAAGTCATCGTGACTGAGGGTTTCAGTGTAAAAAACTTGCTCAATCTTTGATCACGCTAGATTATGCGCTTTCTCCTAGGAATTATTACTAAGGTCCGTTCAGTAAAGCTGGAGTAATAAACATTGTTTATCTCTGCAGGTGTTGATGAACACAAATGTGCTTGAGCAGGCGTCTGCAACAAGGATTAGCTATTCACCTTAATGGACTCACCCGCTTTTTTTTTACTCTCTTCACAGGCCCCCAATATATATTACTTATTATAGTGGATAAATCGTATTAGAAATAGACGCTCCATTTTCATTTATTAAACAACGTGCATTCCGTCTACCAACCTGCACCTTCGAAAAATCATAGTAAAGAAAATGCGTTCCCCGACAGTGATCGAACCTGCGTCATTCTTTTTAAAGTTAAAACACACAAGTTCGGTCCCTGACTGGGAACGCATTTTCTTTAATAAGACTTCTACAATGCGTGCCAGCGTTTCCCTACCTGATCCAGTACCACACAACACACCAATGAACCCCTCTGCGACGGTGGCGTAGTGGATATAGAAGTTGGTTAGACACGTGTTAATGTCATCTAGTGTTTGTGGATTTAATCCCTGGACATCATAGGGAAACGCTGGTTCAGCATGAATGAACAATAACACAATAATCAATAGATACCCTATACTAGCCAAACGATGTATACCTGATTATGGCCAGAGAACACTTGGTCGAAACGTTGCGTGTATAATAATAAGCAAGAAAAGCCTGAAGATTGTTGCAGACAGGTCATGGAATCAAGCTTTGTTTGCAGGAAAACCCGATATACTCTGATCTAAATGTTTACCCTGTCCTTGCCATGTACTCTCAAAAGCTGAAAAGAAAACCTCATGAACCGTGTGTTTTTCAAGCAACTGATTTGGCATACAAAAACCTCATTACAACTCTCACTACTTTTGTCCACTGTTTTATGGTGGCAGCCATTTTAGTGCTGACGTCACATTTGCATGCGATGAATATCTTATCTTTGCTGTTATATGAAGTATTGTATTTCGCAATGGTTTAATTATAGTCAGTTTATGATTATCTATATTTTCCCTTTTAAGGCATCCCTCATGTCTACATTGGTACCGGAAACCAGAGAAATAGTTCGAAATATTGAAAAGTAAATAAATAAATAAAAGTTTAACAAAAATCTTTCGTTGTTTTTTTTTTACACACACACATATATATATTCATTTATATGTATAATAGTTTTAAAACATTAATTATTTCAACAAGTAATTTTGTTAAATCATTTCACTAAGGCGAAATTTGATGTTAGAGAATATGTGAAAAAATATTATTCAAGAGAGAGATTAATAAAAGAACAAGAATAAAGAAGACAGAAGATAACGATTGATATGACTTTTAAATTTTGGAAGATCAAATTTGGCTGGGAAGCTAGAAGTAGAAAGAGAGTTCCACAAGCGAGAAGTGCGATAGAATAAACTGTTAGCATAGAACTTATGATTACATCGAGTAATTTCAATCATAAAATAATGAGATTTTGGCGCCAATCGAGTATTGCACTTAAATTCATAAAGTCTAGCTACCATAGAGAAAATTCCACCAGAAAAATTACCATGAGAGTATTTATATAAATGACATAGAGAAGCTGAGAATATTAAGGGCCGAACATGTCAGCAACAACGAAGTTCTCTAGACAATCGAAACAAAAAGGACAGGAAGAGACAGTTTATTTTTTTTTTGTTTTACATAATGAGGAAAGAAGGCTTGGAAAGTTTGCTACGCACAGAGCAGATTGCAGGCAAGAGGTCCTGAGTAAGGCAACTCATAAATTACTTGACGAGCTGGGGCGAATAGATAGCGGAGCAGTGATTGGGAGAGACGGTAAGAAAACAAAATTTTTAGGGCTAAAAAGAAGAGGAAATTGTGGAGAAGCATGATCGCCGACGTCCTGGAGGGACACGACACATAGAAGAAGAAGAAGAACCAAACTAGACGAAGATAAATGCACTTGTTCAGTATTTTCTGACTTAGAGTGCTGTCATTCGAAAGAGGAATTTAAACACTAAATTGAACACAGCTAAACCCACTAAAGAGCTTACTCACGGTTAGCCTCGATGACTGACTGACATTACCGAGGCCAAATAGCAAGGATTACCATCTACTTAGCGTCCAACTTTACCTTTTTTTTTTTAAATCATTTCATCTCATACAAGGTATTAAAGCCACTAAAACACTAGGGGTTGCCGTGTGTGAAGGAATAAGAAAAAGGAGAATTATTATTAAGTAACGAGAACAATGGAATCAAGAAGACAGCAGATAACGATTGACATGACATTTAAATTCCTGAATATCAAAGTATGCTGGAGTGCATGGAGCCGGGAGAAAGTTCCACAAGCAAGAAGTGAGAGAAAAGAAACTGTTAGTATAGAATTTACGGTTACATCTTGCCAATTCAACTGTAAATTGGTGAAACTTTGTTAATAATCTTGTTCTGCGCTTAAATTAATATAAATACAAGCTACCATAGCAAAGAGTTCACCCGCACATTTACTATGAAATTATTTATAGAAAAGGCCCAGGGACGCTACATTACGGCGGTGGGAAAGTGACTGAAGCCGAGATACCAGGTCAGGACTAATAACATTGCTGATTTCGGGGATTTTATCAAGAATCTCTATATGTACAGCAGGCGCAGCGGGCCATATGTGGCAGCAATATTCAAAGCATGGATGAATGGTAGACTTATAGATATATAAGATAGTTTTTGGAGAGAATATTTGATTTGTCTAGCAAGACACAGTGAACCAAGTTTCTTAGCAGCAGACTTAGCAATAGATTCAATATAGTGTTTCCACTTCATGTCAGTCAAGAATGTTAACCCGAGAAATCGCAACGAGTCATTCCCTTGGTGTTTCACTGTGTAACGCTGGAACTATATATATATATACATATATTATTTGAAATTGAATATTGCTACCACCTTTGGTCTGGTGCTTCTGCTATACATTTTTGCTCTTGGATTTTAAATATTTATTACAAAATAAAATCCTTGCATTTAAATTCATAAAATCCCTCAGAGAACAAAATGCGTCAGCTAAGATAAGTTTACATTTTGTTTTATTCATATATATATATATATATATATATATATATATATATATATATATATAGGGTGTATCAAAAATATTTTAGAAACTTTGGAGCAGACTTCTCACACTTAACATGGGCAAAATTCATAAAATCATGTGTTGCCATGTCGGCTAGATTTTATTTGTCATTCGTGTTCATTTCCGGCTGGTCTGTCTTCAGTGGTTAACGCGAGTTAATTGAAAAGTGTTCCGTTTAACAATGGCCGGAAATTCATATCGTGAGCAGGCAGATATGATCTTTACATACGGCTGCACGAATGGTAATGGACACGAGGCTGCACGTCTGTAGCAGACTGCGTTAACGAAAGCAGCCAACTCATCAAAATTTTTGCTGCTGCTTATCGTCGCGTTGCTGAGACAGGATTCGTGGAACCTCAAACTATGGCGATACGTATTTTTGATTGCATCTTGGATTGTACATTTGAAAATTTCCTTGGTAAACTTTAAACTTAATAACTTAAAAACGAAGGATTTGGTGACATATGTTTTCGTTGTGAGGAAACCGGCTTAAAAATTTATAAAGTATTTTTTTATACACTATATATATATATATATATATATATATATATATGTATATATATATATATATATATATATATATATATATATATATATATATATATATATATGAAGAAAAATATATACGGAAAAAACAAACAAAAATCCTTATATACAATTATCCTGTTTTAATGTTAATATGTCAACGTCGGACGTTTCGGTCTAATAAACCATCTTCAGGACATATTCATAAATTATAACATTATCAATACAACATGACAAAGATGATGTACATAAGAAAGGGGAGGATGAAAACAGCATAATTGTATATAAGGATTTTTTTTTTTTTTTCTTATATATTTTCTTCATACTGTCGGATCTATATCCATATATTTATATTATATATATATATATATATATATATATATATATATATATATATATATAAGGGGCATTATGTCAGAGTCGATGTAATCCCTGGAGTAGATATATGACAGTTAATTCTCTGGAAGATTTTAAAATATTTTTGATTTGCGCATTTTTGGTACCCTCCGTGTAAAGCCATATGAAAGATATTCATATACCTTTTTCTTTTTTATGGAAGCCTATTTGAATGATGATACCTCCAGGTGACCACTTCTCATTATTCAATGGAATTGTGGGGACAAACGGCTATTGTAAGAAAGAGGCTATTTTCCCATCAAATAAGAGACA